TATTTCGGACACACAATAAAACTAGGGAAGTTCCATTTAGGAATCAACTAACCTGGACAGCCTTTGGTAAATTCAGCTATATCCCTGAATACGTACACCTTAAACATAAAGTGCCTATATGTAGCTGCGTTTCGCCTTTGAGAACTGGAAACTCAAAGACCGCTGAGAAACTATGGGTGACTCAAAGATCTATGGAAAAGGCCATGCATTACCTTTAGACACAAAGTTCGGAATTTCGCTCTCGCTCTTAATTTGCTGTTTTTGAATGGCGTAAAGTATCTCTTTCTTTAGGAAATGCCTGCGATATGTATTATAGTTGGTTATGGAAGCCAATCTTTTCGTGACAAAGCTTCGTTTTTCACGGAGAAAAACGATTTGCCGGTATTTTTCTAGTCATCCGCGAAAAGGTACAACTGCCCAAGTTTTTTGGTAATTTTGGGTTAAGTTGTATCAGTTTTTTCATTTTTGGTTTACTAGAAATTATTTTTATTTCTGAATAGTGATTTGGGCTAAATGTTTTTATGTTTCAATTATGTTTTAGCATTTAATTTATTTATTTGGATAAATAAAAATAATATTTGCTTAGACGAACCTCTAGTAAACTGGGATTTTAGTATGCCTTCTGCCAACATCCGAGTTATGAACTGAACTTCTCGAGATAAGGACCCTCCATCTTAAAATATCGCTCTCAAGCACTAAAAAATGGCCTTAAAACAGTAGAACATACACAGAAAACAGTTTCATTATAACAAAACGTCACGGTTGTCCGAAGGTAAATGAAATCCTTATGGCGCCAAATTCGATAGGAATGTTCAATATTTTTCAATTTTAATGAAAAGCGGTGTGGTTCTAGGTCCACAAAACACGTATTAAGCGTTAAAACATCTAGAAAACCTCTATTTTTTTTTCTGATCAATCTAAAACAAAAAAACGAAACTAGCGAGGCTAGCAAAACGACCCCCTGCGTCGAGAGTAGCGCTTATGACGTCACTGTGCGGAACGAACCATCAGCTGGCGCGTTGACGAGATTTGTTTACAAGTTTACATTGAATTTATTGTGTTGCCGACTGGTGCTTTATCCCAAGAACCTTCAGTCGAAGAAAGTGGTACCTACGTGCATGTTTCCCTACGAGGTGCGGAAATGTGGTACTTTTCGCACGCAAATCGGTGCGTGAAGACGCGTTTTCCACACGCTCGTAGAAAAAATGTGCCTAACACGAGCGTAAATTATGCTTTCCACAGTTGGCAGAATATGTAAATCGGCCTTTGGAAAACCTTCCTCCATTTTAGCCATAGTATCTTTTCTACCCTAATTTCGATAAACCCTAACACAGACTACAGAGATCGACACGAAGGAGATAGCAGCAATATCAAAATACCTAAATGTTAATAGTCCAAGAGCCCGGAGCCGCCAGACACAACTTATTTTCTAAAGGACAGAATATGTGGGATTGAGTAGCGCTTATAGGTATTATGGGAAAAACCTAATCCCATTTCTACTCTAGCCTGGAGTAGACTGTAAGTTTAAGAAGGGGAAATAGATATCTTGCTCACTCTCAAACGCATGCATAGTACCCTCGCGCTCACACTCACGGAAAAACTATTATTGCGTCTGGGGGGATGTTTGACCGGTGCGATTGGTCTGGCTGAGCACACGTAGTTATGAAATAGTCTCCCCAATAACATGTATAAAAATCAAGCGTTAGAAAAAAAGTTAAAGTACTTTTTAAGCTTTCGCACGTGGTGTCGGTAAATTGGCCGTCTACCCAACTTAGCGAGTATACATACGTTCATAGTACATATAAGTGCTACACAATCCCACATATTCTGTCCTTTAGAAAATAAGTTGTGTCTGGCGGCTCTGGGCTCTGGGACTATAAACAGACTCTCCCGTTAAATTAAAACCTAACCATAATAATAATAACAATATTATTATTATTATTATTATTCTTTATTGCTAACAAAAATCGCAAAAGCAACGTCACAAAAACCTGATCCAAGTAGCTAGTATCGCCACTGTACTTGCGCGCGCTAACTCGTTACGCATTGTGACGTCGGAGAGCATTTCGCGCGTTTTAACGAATATTTCGTCTCCGTTTTTCTCATAGAAGGAATTTTCTGATTTTCGTAAAATTTTGTAGATCTACTTACGAAATGATGCTTAATAATTTGATGATTGTTAAGGCGCCAACATCGCTCCCATGCACACGATACAAAATACAGAAATCGGATTTAGACTACAAAAAAAAACCGCACATCAGAATTTGCTGAAATTTGGCATAAACATTCCTTGATCGATTATCTAGTCCAGTTAGATTTTCCATATTTCGATTTTTTTTTTGGCCTATGTTGTGAAAATGAGCTATTTTCCAAAAATAGAAATTACCACGGTAAAAATTGAAAAAATAAGAGCACTATTCTCTAGAGATAATCGATCAAAGAATGTTTATGCCAAATTTCAGCAAATTCTGATGTGCCGTTTTTTTTTTGTAGTCTAAGGGCCAAATTACAATATATTTGCATCTACAAATTTGCAGTTCTGCAAATATGGCCGACTTGCATATGTGCTCCATTTGCAGAAACGAGCAAATTACAGAAAAAATCTGCAATTTCGTCATATTTATCGGAAAAAAGTGTTCCTGCGCTTCTGATTTACCAGTTTTAAATGTCAAAGTTGTCAAAGTAATTGCAAGGACTTGCGGGACCGTTTCACCATGCGCAAATTTGCAGGTGACTTGCAAATGCATTCTGCTTCTGTAATACGAAAAGTCAGACTTGCAGGTCCTGCATTTATATCTTGATGTTGTAGAGCTTTTGTAATTCCGGGCTAAATCCGATTTTGGAATAAAATTACAGATAATTTGGCAAATAAAGTTCAGGCTTTTTTCGAAGCCACCAGTCAATTCGTGATGTCATAATTAGGCGATTTCGAAAACCCCGAACCGTTGGAGCAGCAGCTGATGTAGGTGGAGCAGCAGCTGATGTAGGTTGTTCAGCGTTTCCAAAAAAGCCTATTGACAACAGAACCTCTTTCTCACCTTGTGTATTTGTTTTGTTTTTTATTATTGGTTTATAAAATAATAGACACAAAGCATGCTCTGCCATTAGTTTCCATTGAAAATAAATAAAGTAGCTATTTTACGTACCTAGGTATACATAAAAAAATTGGATCGTGTTTTGTAGGACAAAATGTGTTTGAAAAAATAAAAAGCTTCAATAATAATTATTCAAATTTATTTACAATAGGTGGAAAGTGCTAAAATTAGAGTTTTTCCTTTGTGTTTTTGCATATTAATGCAATAATAATATCCACCAATGCAGTAGAGCATTCCATTTAGGTATCTGGCGATTTGCATTTCTTTTACTACCTCTACAACAAAACATCACTTTTACAGAGTAGAATAAAATTTGAAGTCATACCAGGCATGGAAATGCAAATCCCTCCATAGTCCCATTAGCCAATCAGTGCGAAATGAGTGAAAAAATTTGCACTGATTCTGCAAATTGAAATCGCCATAATATTGAAAATGTGTAGGGACCAATGAACTATAGTCACAAACTGGAATGCGCACACATTGCCATATCTGCCAAAAAAATGTAGCCATGAAAGACAGATGCCACAAAGGGGAATGTTGTTTTTTTCTGTTGCTCGCTAACATATGACGTTTTGGAAAGTTTTGTCATATTTACCTTCACAGGTTTCATCAATTGGAATACGTGTTGGGAGCAATTTCCGCCATTTAACATAATGAGTGCGACAAAAACAGGTATCCCCTCCGCAGCAGCGGCACTAGGCTTCAAGTTCGTCAATATGTGTTCGCATTCCAGTTTTTGGTTATAGTTCATTGGTTGGGACTGCGATCCCAGATCATCTCTATCCTTTTCCTTCGTGCACATCTCTCTCTTGTCTTGTTTGACAAGTGGGAAATTGCCGAGGTTTCGTTTTTGAGGTTAGGTTGAGATGGGAAGATTATTGTTCGTGGTGTAAACGTTTAGTCATGTTTTGTTGGTGAGACTTGTGCTGGGCTGAATAATTAATAAAATTAGTAATGTTATTTGTCCTGTGCCTGATTAAACCTGTCCTGAGGTAGCTGAACAGTTGATGACGGACGTAGGCCGTCTGCTTGGTCAATTCCCGACGAGCAAAAATATCCAGAATACCTACATTGGTGACCCCGACTTTTCTCAGGACATTTTTTCTGGCCAGTGCAGGTTGACTTTGACTGTTTAGTGCCATAAATAGAAGCTATTATGTGTGAGTACTAATCAAATAGCTATTAAATAAACATTTTTTGTTGTTGTTGTGTGTGCCACCATCGAGAATCGATCCTGATCGTCTCATTATCGATATCGATTCCGTATTCCGTCCCGCCTTTTTGAAATTTTGGTTTGGAAAACGTGGAGTCAGCTGAGTCCAGTGTTGCCAGATCCATGCTGTGGGTGCTATAGCCGGTAAAACAGGAACTTTGACTTCAGCCTAACTGTACTTTCATGCAATGTTGGCTGCCTAACCGTAAAGTCCACCAATTATTTACAAAAATAAAATATGCTGTTGTTTACCTTGTTTTTGGCTTAAAATTAGCAACTTTAGCCTAGGGTAAAAGGCTGTTCATTAGAACGCGACCCTATTAAGCCACCTGATGCCTGTAGCCCTGTTTTGAGCCAAGTTTACTGTTCTGGATGCTGCTGATTTGCTCCACAAGCCTGATATTCATCGAAGCCGACGCCGATGTGTACGTCGCGACGCCAGGGAAGTTGCCCTTGATTTGGCTGTTTGGAACCTTGCTTCGACGTCTGGATTTTTGCTACTTACCTCAAGAACTGGTAGACCTTCCGTATTGTCTACATTTCTCCAGGTACACCCTTCGCTGGAATTTTGAAGCTGTGTAGAGACATTTCAGGTATTTAGGTATTAAAATAAGCACTGTGTATTGCTATTTACTTTTTTTACTTTGTATTTTGCAAATTTTGTTTTTAAATAACAATTTTAATTTTGTATAATGGATGGTCAGGAGGCTGAGGCTGCTTTGACTGAGCTTGCTCGTTTACAAGCTCAGTTAGATCAACTTAGGACCGATCATGGTATCCCAGTTGCAGACGCTCAATCACTCCGGTTGGACCACTATAGAGTCCCTAAATTGCCCTCATTTTCTCAAGTTGACCCTGCCCTGTGGTTTTTACAGGCTGAAATATCTTTGAGAAATTCCCGCATCACAGCCCAGTCTTCAAAAGCTGATACCGTGCTTGCAGCATTGGATGTGGAAGTTATAGGTTGTCGTTCCTCCACCTGCTGACATATATGACAAGATGCGAGATGATGCGAGCTTTAGCTGTTTTTCTCGATCAACTTCCTCGTGAGCATCGCGCTATTCTTGTTTCAGCGGGCGTCTCAGACCTCAATCGCTTGGCGGAGGCTGCCGATCGCATTGCAGAATGTGCACATAGTTCTGAGTCTTGCATCTCCTCTGCAGCTATGCCAACTAGTTCGGGCCCTGCAGATTCTGAGTTAAAGCAACTCATTGACAGTGTTGCTGCTTTAAATAAAAAAGTTGACAGACTTGAAATAGAGTTGAAAAGGACACGTTCGCGATCTTCTTCAAATTCTCGCAGGAATTCGAGCTCAAAGAAATCGTCTTCCTTATGTCGCGCTCATTCTAAGTATCCTGAAAATCCTACTTCTTGTCGGAAATGGTGTTCCAAATATAATGAGTGGACACAATCAAAAAACTAATTAAGCCTTCCTGTTTGGGGATGGTCGAGGAAGGTCTTTTAATTTCGAACCGTCTCCATGTTCGTGGTCAATTGTTCCTTATTGACACTGGTGCTGACATTTCTCTTCTTCCTGCTAATCCTAATATAAGAGGTAATCCCTCGGGGGTAAAACTATTTGCTGCAAATGACACTCGTATTGATACTTTTGGAGAAACTTTCCGCGTACTTGACCTTGGCCTTAGGCGTCCAATTCGTTGGAATTTTGTCATTGCTGCTGTCCCATATCCTATTATTGGGGCTGACCTACTCTCGCATTACGGATTAACTGTGGATATTAAAAAAAGACGTATCATCGACACGATTTCCTCTATATGTTCCCCAGCAATTGAGAAACCAGCTGCTTATCAGTCGATCAATTCACTTGTTCCTAACTCCAAATTTCATGACATTCTTGCTAAGTTTCCCAATTTGGCAGGCGCCACTCCTCTGAGTTCCCCTGTCAATCATGATGTGGTTCATCATATTATTACCTCGGGTCCTCCGGTTTTCGAGCGTGCTCGTCGTCTTTCTCCTGCTAAACTTAAAGCCACCAAAGCAGAATTTCAAGCTTTGGTCGAAGCAGGTATTTGTTGCCCTTCATCCAGTCCTTGGGCAAGTCCAATTCATCTGGTGCCCAAGAAAGATGGGAAAGACTATCGACGATTGAATTCAATTACTCTTCCGGATAAATATCCTTCGCCTCACCTGCACGATTGCACAGTCAATCTGCATGGTTAGTCTATCTTTTCGTCCTTGGATCTGCATAAAGCTTATAATCAGATTCCCATGGCCCCGGAAGATGTTCAGAAAACCGCTCTAATCACACCCTTCGGTTTATTCGAATTTTTATACATGACTTTTGGTCTTAGAAACGCCAGCCAATCTTTTCAGCGTTATATTAACCGCGCGTTGGGTGACCTGGATTTCGTTTTCATTTACATTGATGATATTTTGGTAGCTTCATGTTCTCCGGAGCAGCACGCCGAGCATTTGCATACTGTTTTTCAGAGACTTCCAGATTTTCATCTTCGTTTAAATGTCAGCAAATGTATCCTTGGCGTTCCTGAACTTGAATTTCTTGGCTATTTGGTCAGTAGTAAGGGCTTACGCCCTACTCCTGAAAGGGCTGCTGCCATTGCTGAGGCGCCTTGACCTAAAACAATAGCCGATCTCTGTCGTTTCCTTGGAATGGTAAATTTTTACCGTCGCAATGTTCCTCATGCGGCGAAAACTCAGGCTGCCTTGAACTCATTATTTGTGGACTCACATAAGAACGACAAACGTGAAATTGAATGGTCGGACGAGCTTATTGAAGCATTTGTTAAAACCAAACACGATTTTGCTAATGCCATATTACTTGTCCATCCTCGCACTGGCGCGGATCTCCGTATCGTCACCGATGCTTCCGACTTTGCTATGGGAGCAGTAGTAGAACGGGAGAATGAGGGTAATTGGGAACCTCTAGCGTTTTTTTCTCGCAAGTTTTCCCCTGCCCAAACTCACTATAGTGCCTATGATCGTGAGCTAACCGCAATTTTTGAATCGATAAAATATTTCCGTTACTTATTAGAAGGTTGCAATTTTAGGATACTCACTGATCATAAACCCCTGATCTATGCATTCAAGCAACGGGCTGATAAAGCCTCTCCTCGACAATTGCGCCAATTATCCTTCATCGCTCAGTTTACTACCCATATAGAACACATTTCGGGCTCTCAGAATGCTGTGGCTGACACGCTATCTCGAATCGAATCTATCCAGTTACCACTTGATTTTAGCGTTAAAGAACTTGCTGCTCTTCAAGACAATGATGACCAATTGAAGTCGATCTGTGCTTCTTCGGATCATCCTTTAAAACTAAAAAAAAATTACAATGGGGCCCGGATATGGTTAGTGTTTATTGCGAATTATCAGGTGAGTCTATTCGACCCTTCATCCCTGTTAGTCTACGTGAGAAGGTTTTTCATCAAATTCATGATCCAGCCCATCCCAGTGGTAGAGTTACCGACCGAATGATTCGACAACGTTATGTGTGGCCTGATATGCATTGTGATATTGCAAAATGGTGTAGAAATTGTATTGACTGTCAACAGTCAAAAATTAGTCGACATGTAAAAGTTCTTCCTGAACATTTTTCAGCTCCTGATGGACGATTTGATCAAGTTCACATCGATATAGTTGGTCCTCTTCCTGCGTCTGAGGGTTATTGTTATTGCCTAACGATGATTGAGGCAGTTCCTATCAAAGACACCTCGGCGCAAACAATAGCTAGAGCATTTTTTGATTCGTGGATTTCTCGTTATGGTACACCTAAGGTACTTACTTCGGATCAAGGAGCCCAATTCGAATCTCGAATTTTCTCCGCCTTATTATCCCTAATTGGCTGTCAGAGGATTCGTACTACACCTTACCATCCGAAGTCTAACGGAATAATTGAGCGTTGGCATCGAGTGCTAAAAGCTGCCATCATGTGCCATGCTGATGCCAATTGGACGCGCTCATTATCTACAGTTATGTTAGGTATTCGTTCTCATGTTAGAGCTGACACTGAAGCCTCTCCGGCAGAATTTACTTTTGGTTCAACTTTGCGTCTCCCTGGAGAATTTTTTCTTCCAGATGACATTATTCCAGACCCAAATATTTTTATAGAAGAATTTCGAGAGTATATGCGTCAAATTCGACCTGTGCCGGTTGCGCATAAATATAAAAAAAGTTTTTTTTTATTTTAAAGATCTTTATAATTGTACTCATGTATTTTTAAGAAATATGGCCAAGAAAGCTCTCGAAAGACCTTATACTGGACCTCATAAAATTCTTAAACGACTATCAGATCGAGTTTTTGACATTGACATAAATGGTAAGACTGAAAGCATTTCAATTGACTTATTAAAGCCAGCCTTCTTTATTCCTGACGAAATTGATGGCCCATTGAGTTCTTCTGAAAGCTCTCTTGCTCAAAATGTTAATACTCAGCCTGTTCTTAGAACTTATTCTCGAAAAAAAGTAACTTTCTCGCCAAATGTTAAACTTTAAACAATAATATTTTCTTTAGCTTAAGATTTTGATGTATTTCTCATTTATTATTGGATAATATTTCAAGTATTTTAACTACCTATATTGTATAACCCTAAATATTTAGCTACTAACTTCAATTCTCTATATATGAATAACTACTTATGTATAACTTTTGTCTTTTGAAAATTAGTTTCCTAGTTATTTGTTACTCTCAGTTTTTTAAATATCGTGTTCACTGGGAGGGGAGTGTGTAGGGACCGCGATCCCAGATCATCTCTATCCTTTTCCTTCGTGCACATCTCTCTCTTGTCTTGTTTGACAAGTGGGAAATTAGGCAATCCAACGACCTGTCCAAATGGCGTCTGGTTGGCAAACAATAAACAAAAAACATATGTTTTTCTTTTGGCAGGATTAAGCCTAGTACTCATAACAGCGAAATTCGCTCTTTTTTGAGATTGCTTCGACAATTTGACGTTTTATGCATGAATCAAATGTCAAATTATTCAAGCAATGTCAAAAAAGGGTGAATTTCGCGGTTATGAGTACTAGGCTTTATCAATCTGACACTTTTCTGACATCGTTGACATGTAACAACCCGTATTCTAACCTCATAAAAATTTCAAAATGCCGGCTGGTTGGCAAAAGTCACGTGGTGTGGATTCCCCAATTGCCGAGGTTTAGTTTTTGAGGTTAGGTTGAGATGGGAAGATTATTGTTCGTGGTGTAAACGTTTAGTCATGTTTTGTTGGTGAGACTTGTGCTGGGCTGAATAATTAATAAAGTTAGTAATGTTATTTGTCCTGTGCCTGATTAAACCTGTCCTGAGGTAGCTGAACAGTTGATGACGGACGTAGGCCGTCTGCTTGGTCAATTCCCGACGAGCAAAAATATCCAGAATACCTACAAATGCTTTCATCTTGGCGCCATCTATAATTTTTTTTTAGAACTGAAATATAATTTGAAGGGGGGGCCGTTGCGGCCTTAAACGGGATTTTTTTATTTTGTAAACATTCATATTATTTAAATCGATATAGGGTTATGTTTCTTATTTTTGTATTGTGTTATTGGAGCGAAATTTTCCGTTAGGTATTGTGTATAAACGTGTGGTTGCGGATTGTAAATTTTCTTTCACCAGATATTTAAATACCTACTTCATTTAAATCACATTTTGAGTTTTTATTTTGAATTTTAATTGATTTTTCTGAGGTTCTTTTTTCCCCAGTGGATTGTTTGAGCATGATATAATGAAATATGACTCTACTAGCCACATACGCCTTTTATGTAGTTTCTTGTATGTGTGTTATAAATGTTAGTTTTTTGTTTCAGTATACGACTAGGTGTATTATTTGACTGCATCTTTGTTTTCAATTCCAATGTTGCTTGTTAATCCACTGAAATGCATCGAAACTGGAACATTTTTTGCCCAGTCAAAGTGAAGTATATAACCTATTCATAAAGTTTTCAATCTTGCGAATCCAATTCCGTAGATTGAAATTACTATAATTGGAAAATGGAGCACTTTTCGATG